GAGACAGTTTAAGTAATGGAAATACAGAAACACAAAATAAAAAGCCCAAATCGAGAAATATAATCCACTATATTTATCTTTGAAATTCACAAATGCTGTTACTGGTGGAGAGGAAAGACCATTTTATTTTACTTTTGCTTTTAGAGCTAGCTAAAGAGGGACAGTAGATAGAATGCTGGTCTGGGAGACTCAGGAAGACTTGAGTTAAAATCTGGCCCCAGATACTTACAGCTGTGTGACCCTGGACAAATCACTTAACCTCAAACTTCTCATTTTCCTCAAATGTAAAATGGGGATAATAATGTCACCCACTTTGCAAGATTGTTGTGAGAATCAAATGATGTCATATTTGTAAAAAAAAAACAGCATAAATGGAGTTTCTTCTCCTTTCTCTTCTTTTTGAGTTTTATTGATACTATATAGAAATGCTGATGATTTCTGCGGATTTATTTTATATACTTCAAGTTTGCTGAAGTCATTGTTTCACTTAATTTCTTAGTCGACTCTTTAAGGTTCTTTAAGTGCCCTTCGAATCATCTGCTAAAGTGGTCATTTCGTCTCTTCTTTTCTTAATGCTTATTCCCCCAATTTCTTTTTCTTGTCTTATGCTAGTCAGCTATTCTAGACAGAAGAGGTGACAATGAATATCCTTGTTTTATCACTGATTTTATTGGAAAGGATTCTAGTTTATCTCCATTATATTTAATGGTAGCTCTTGGTTTTAAATATACATGGCCAAAAAATATGCAGAATTGCTGTATATAGCATAAATGTATATATGCATGTACGTATGTGTGTATATGTAGAAGTACATTTATGCTTGTATATATGAGTATGCTATTCATACTTAATTCATAAAAATAAAATAACTGTATTTATGAAAAAGGTAGAACCATAGATAATAAATTTACAAAAGTGCTATTTTATTTCCTAATTTCAGAAATACTTGCCCTATAAATGAAATAGCAGAAAGTAAAGATCTGCTTGTTAAGCATAACCTATCTTAGAAAAATAATTTTCCTATGATTTTAAAGAACTAAATCTTTCTAAATACAAGTGGCTAAGGCATCCATTTTGCCATGAACTGATGTAATGTGTTTGATCTTCAAGAACAATTATTTTGTCTTATGATAATATATCAAATAAACCTTTAAACATGAAAAAATCTTATTTTTTTTGGCTATCAGTGAATGAAATGTTCTCTGGTTTTAAGCTAAATGATACAAATTATACTACCATTCCTAATATCATATTTATGTGGAATGGGATTTTCTCATATAGCTATTAAAGAGATAAAATAACAGTTTCCATTAGTGATTTTAAAATAATTGAATAACTATATCATCAGTGACACAAAATTTTGTGTAGAAAATAGTCCCCTAATTATTGTTATTACTAATAATATTGTGGTTATATTGTGTTATGAAAATTTTGAAGGATCTTTGTGCATGTAACATTATTTTATTACATGTTTAAGATTTCTTGGGAAATTATTTAAATTATCAACTTTATCTGAATAAAAACAAGCTGAGAAAAGTATTTTCATAAATTTTGAAAAAAGTGATGGACATGATCATTTCTTTGCCAAAAGAAATTATGTAAATGTATTCACTATGTAAAATTTGCCAAAAAAAATCCCTAAAACTATAAACTATCTTAACCCATTTTATTGAGGTTTATGATCTTATAAATCATCCAAACCTTTTTCTCTCCAAAGATAGTAATGATATCTCAGTGGTTAAAGCAGACAGCTTTTTCCTTCTTCATTCCTCTGCAGCATTTGCCACTATTAACCATCTCTTTTTCATGACATTGGTTCTCCTACCTGTATTTTCATTCTCTCTCTCTCTCTCTCTCTCTCTCTCTCTCTCTCTCTCTCTCTCTCTCTCTCTCTCTCTCTCTCTCTCCAATTTCATCATCTCCCATGGTGTCAGTATCATCTCTATACAGATAACTCCCAAGTCTATGTTTCCAGTACTACTCTCTCTCTTGAGTTCCAGTCCTACACTACTACCTTTTGGACGTTTCCAAATAGCTGTCTTATAAGTATCTTAAAATCAGCACATCCAAAAACATTATCTTCCCCCATTATCTTACTTCTTCCCAACCCACTTCTCCTCAAAACTTCCTATTTCTATTGAAAGCATAGGAAAATAATAATTAGGACTTTTAGTCTTTTTTAATCTTGGATAAAGTTCTGTCTTGCCCATTCAGTGTGACTTTCGGCTCTTACAGCCTCATACCCTTTACTTTCTTCTGGGATCTTGGAATTTAGAGCAAGAAGAGAATTCAAAAATCACTTGGTCTGTACTCCTCATTTTACAGTGGAGGAAATTGAGGTTCCTAGAGGGGAAGGGACTTGCCCAAGGTCACACAAGTAGTTACCAGTGTAGATATTCCAGCCTAGGTCCTCCGACTTCAAATACGTCATCCTTTCCACTATAGCATGCTTTGTCTAGGCCAATCTTATCTCCTCTACTCAATTATATCCTTGTAATTTGTGGGGGGAATTTGATACATCAAGCATTTATTTATCTATATAACAGGCTAGGTGCTAAATGAAAGCAGCCCCTTTTTCTCAAGAAGCTTATATGCTACCAAGGAAAAACAGTGTATGTGCACAGAGAAGTAAGTATTAACTGCATATAAAGTAGATACAAAGTAATTGGAGCAAAATTGCTAATCACTGCAAAGACTATAAAGGCTTCATGTAGGAAGGAGGTAACCGTAAACTGAACCTTGAATAGAGCCAAGAATTAATTCCAAGAGGTGGAAGTGCGGAGACAGAGAATTCCAGATATAACAGCCATCCAAGGAAAGACATGGAGACTGGACATGGAATATCATGTCTAGGAAATGCCACTCAGGTCAGTTTGGCTGGAATAAGGGATACATGAAAAAGACTAATGGGAAATCAGGCTAGAGAGAGAAAAGCAAAAGACCAGGAGGTGTTTTTCTTACCCTTCTTTCACTAACCCTGTTTACTTTTCTGTAAAATAAAAGGGTTAGAACAAATAGTTTCTTTTTTTTAAGGCAATTGGGGTTAAGTGACTTGCCCAGGGTCACATAGCTAGTAAGTCTCAAGTGTGTGGTCTGAATACAGATTTGAACTCAGGTCTTCCTGACTTCAGGGCCGGTGCTCTATCCACTGCACCACCTTGCTGCCCCCTACAAATGGTTTCTAAAAGCACTTCCAGCTTGCCTGTGGACTCTTTCCCATTGCCCCCAGCATCTAGAGCTGTGCCAGTAACATGAGGATCACTCAATAAATCTCTGATTGATTGACTGGTTGATTGATTGATGAACTGAATATTGGAAGTGAGCCAGGAACTGATTACTAACAATGATGTACCTTGGCAGCTCGGTGGTAGGCGACTCAGCTTGGGCACCCCAGCACCTGAGCGTGGTGAGTGTGGTCAGGATGGTACTGGCTCTCTGGAAGAATGAGCCTCAGACACCTCACTCATTAATCAAACTCCCATGCATCCCTTTCTCACTTTTCAGGGAATCAGGTTACAAAGACAAACTCACCGATAAGGAGAGGAGTAAGACTGGAACACATATATCATTAAGAAAAATCAAAAGCTGGGGTGGTTGCATTTCAAAAGAAAAGGCTCACAGGCTCTAGCTTCATGACCTCGGGTCCCTTCAGGGTCTAAAAATTCTTCTTCTCCAGTTATTCCCCATCTGAGATGTTGAATTCAATTCAACAGACAATTACAATGTGCCTGCTATATACAAACTACTCTGATATTCAAAAGCCTCCACAGTCTGGCTCGAACATATCTTTCTAGATAGGTTTTCCATCTCTTTCTTCATGGTTCCTCCATTCTGCCCAAACTGGCCTCTTCTCCATACACACCATTTTATGCCCCACCTCCATGACTTTAGGCTAACCACCACCACCCACCACCCCCAGAGGAACACATGTTCTCTTTCCTCACTTCTGCCTCTTACAATTCCTAGCTCTCTCCTAGACTCACCTTGTGGCACTTCTACAGAAGACCTTTTCCCAGTCCCCCTAGTTGTTAGCATGATCCCCCTCTCCCCCAAATTACTTTGTATAAATGTTATATTTGCTTGTCTATGTTTCAATTGTTTTCCCCACTAGAATGTAAGCTTCTTGAGGACAATTCCATGGAACATGGTGGGAGCTGAGCCTGCACCTTGACCACTTTCCCAAGAGTCTTGTGCTTTGACCTCCTGCTGCAGAGCATGCACAACCCAAAACTGGTTGTTCCTTTAGCTCCACTAATGGGGGGTGGGATGCCAAAGAGGACTGCCCCATTCAGTAGAATTTAAGATGAGGGACTTCTCTCCATGTTTCTTCTTTCTGTCTCTTTCCTCTCTCTTTTTTCTTTTTTCCTTTCCTCTCTTCTCCTCTGTCTCTCTTCTGTCTCTTCCTCTCTCCTCCTCTCTTCTCCTTTCTCACTTCTTTTCCTGTTCTATGTCTCCCTCTTTTCCCTTCTCTCATCTCTTTCTCTCCTCTCCACTTCCTTTCTTTTCTCTTCTCCTCTTTTCTCTGCCAAGTGCAAGCAGTCACCACGGCTGCCATAGATGCTCCATTAGTGGGGCCATGATATATGGTTGTTGTCTATGTCTTCTCTTTCCTACCAGACTGGAAGCTCCTTTATATCATCTCTCTCCACTTCATCTCTGTCTCTTTCTTCACCTCCAGTGTCCAGCAGAAGTCCTTGTAGTTCAAAGCAATTCAGCAAACATTTATTTATTTGTTAATGAATGAATGAATAAATATTTATTCAGAGCCTACTATGTATCACCCATAGTGCCAGAGGCTAGGGCTACAAAGCATAGCAAGGATCAGATTGGAATCTACTCCATGGAACATATGTGGGGATGGTCCTGAAGGGGCAGCCTCTCCCTCTGAATTTTATTTCAGTGGGGAGGAATCCTGTCTGGGGAAACAAGATATGTCTGCCAGACCAACTCATCGCTCTGCATCTCCCAGTCTCCAGGACACAGTGAATGTCTGTACTGACCTGTATCTCCTGTGTCAGAGCCAATTCCAGTAGCTGGCTAAAGTACTGGCCCACGGCACTCAGGGTCTCATTCACACAGGGCTTCATGGACTTCAGGACCTGCTCATCATGGATGTGGAGACATCTAGAAAACCAAATGGGCCAAGAGCTGGTCAATAGCAACAGGTCCCTCCCTGGTAGGGGTCTCCTGAGGGGCCTTAGAAGGTAGCCAGGAGACCGACGGATGTGATGATTCAACTGAATGATCATTTAGAGAATGGAAAGGGGATGTGTGTTAGCTACTAAACTACAGGATGGTGCAGAGCAAAGGAGGGTGGTGGAACCTACCTTTCAGTGACAGCTGTAAGCTCCGAGCACTTCTCCATTAACAGCTTCTGAAACTGCAGGACAAAAAAAAATAAAGAAAAGGAAAAAGGAAGGGAAAGTATGTGATTTTTTTAATGCTGCTGGACTTTTAACTTTAAGAATGATGTTCAAAGTTCTCCAGGGAGAAAAGACTTAACTGACAGATTTCCACCTTTATGTTCCCAGAAGTTATGCTTCATTTGCTGAAGATCCTGATAAGGGGTCATGAAAAAGGGAATAGGTATGATGCCAGCCATGAAGCCCCACAGGTTGGGAAGTCAAGTTGATAAGAGCTGCCTTATGCTGCCCTCCCCACTGGGAAATGGACAGTAGATGTGATGACAGCAGTAAACTTAGAGGTAAGGACATAAGCTCATCGATTTGTTTTTGTGAAAAAAAAATGCTGGAGTCAGTCAGTGGACTTGAGTTTGAATCTCAGCTTTGACCAGGGACAAGTCACGTCCCCTCTGTGAACCTCATTCTCTGAAAAGTTTCTTCCTCTGTAAAATGAGGTTAGACTAGGTGATCTCAGAGGGATCCTTCCTGCTCTAAATCTAGAACCCTATGATTTACCAGTAGGTTCACATCTGTTGGTTGGGAACCTCTGGTGGAAAGAAAATAATAACCACATTGAGAGCAGAGCCTAATGTCTTCCAACGGACTTGGAAGCCCCAAAGAAGGGAAGTCTTCTCCAAGATCACAATCATATATCCAAGATTTGAATTAATATCTTGTAACTCCAAGTCCAGGATTCTTTCCACTAGCAGTATGACTAGTAATAAATTCACAAACTGTTACCAGAAATCAAATAAATCAACCCCCTTATTTTATGAATTATGAAACTGCAAATCGGAGCATTAAATGAGTTGCCCAAATTCACTCACTGAGTGGCAAAGTGACAATTTTAATCCAGGTTCCCAACACCCAGTTCAGCATTCTTTATATTACATCATGACCATTTCCTGCACTCATCAGACAATTTTCTTTTAAATACAGAAAACACACTCACAGGGAAGTATGCTTATCCCCAGTCAGCTCTGCTGTAGTACCCCACAAATCCTTGTTTGGAGGCTACTCCTTTCATATATGACCAGTTTGGTTACTAAAAGGGGCACAGTGAACTGTTATACAAAGAAAAAATATGAAATTAACTTGTGAAGGATTTCAAAGTCTTGCCCTTTTCATACGTGAAAAAATTTTTGTGGTGAAAAAAGCCTAGGGGGCAGGTAGGTGGCACAGTGGATAGAGTACCGGCCCTGAAGTCAGGAGGACCTGAGTTCAAATCTGGCCTCAGACCAAACACTTGACACGTCCTAGCTGTGTGACCCTGGGCAAGTCACTTTACCCCAATTGCCTAAAAATAATAATAATAATAATAATAATAAGCCTGAAAAAAAAACCTTTTATTTATAAAGACTTGTTAATATCCAAGTGTCAATAAAATTTTGAGATAAAATGTAACAGGTTAGGTTATAAGACCAAGTAAAGAACCTGGAAGACCTGACTAAGAACAGAGAAATAGCTGAGGGTACAGGGCATTGTGGTCTCTCAGCTCATTTGCATATAACTGTTTTTAGAGTTTGAGAGGTTTAAATTCACAATGTGATAAATCAAATAACTCTTTAGGGACCACAGGGCAACTAAATTAGGATTCTTGGTTTCATTAGTTTTAAGTCATGAAGCAAATAGAAGAGGAAAGACAGGCTTTGCAGCTGCTTTAAGAAATTTAAAACAGGACAATACAGCATCCTCTAGTGAAGAGTTGGTTGGGTTCATCTGCATTGCCTAGACAGCCAATCTAAGGAGCTTTGCAGTTCTCTAGCATAAGGGGAATCTTTGTCATTATGACAGTACACCCTTTTAAGGGTGATTGTGAATTAAAACAGCTTGTCAATGCTTTGTCAATCAGAAGAGCAGATTTGCCCAGAAGGAGAGTAAAGAGGATCAGAAGGGGAGCAGTTAGTAGAGAAGCAATTCAATGTGGTACAGATTCTTTCTGAAGGGATCAGTTGAAGACTTGCAGTCCAGAGTTGGAAACTACCCCAAACACATGCTCATATGATCCTGTTAGGTTTCTGTAACCTTGTTCCCATCCTCCCTGCCCCCATGTACTATGTGCATTAATAGAAGGGTGCAACTGAAGTCTACGGGTTAACTGTGACGTATTGATTAGGGCAGCTAGATGACACAATGAATATAGCACTGGGCTTAGAATCAGGAAGGCTATGTTCCTAAGTTCAAATCCAGTCTCAGACACTAGCTGTGTGACCCTGGGCAAGTCACTTAACCCTGTTTGTCTCATAAAATGAGCTGGAGAAGGAAATGGCAAACCACTCCAGTATCTTTGCCAAGAAAACTTCAAATAGGGTCACAAATGGACAAAAAAAAATTGATTACTCCTTCGTTACTTTATATTAAATAACTTTAATGTGTTATCTATTGTTGCTTTTGTCTTGTCATTAAGTAATTATCTTACATTTGAGTGTTCATGGTGCCATCATGGTAAAAGGCTGAGTTTGTATAATTTGGAAGCATACTTCTTAGCTCTTCAGTTACAGTGGCAGGTTGGAAGAGTATATATGTATGGATGTTTGTATGTATACACACATACGTGTGTATCCTCTGTTTAAAAGGGTTGTCTTTAACACCCTGAGAGAGTTTGAGAGGTAGCCCGTGTTGGTAATCCTGAGAACCCAAACCTGTCAATGTGAGCCAGCCCAGAGGGAGTGTATGCACAGTGTCCTGTCTAGAAATGGTGACCTACATTGTTGGCATGCACACAGGTCACCTCATGTATCTATTACATCGGTAATTTAAACCATTCCTCTCCCCCAACCCCAAAGCATCTGCATTCCCAGTTCCTCTGCCTATCCTTAATAACTAAGCCACTGACCTGCTCCATCTCCTCAGAGGTACCTCTGCTGAAGATGCTGTACTCATTGATCATGGAGCGTGCATGACAGGTCAGCCGGACACTCAGACTGTGCACCCGTCCCCATCGCTCCCGGTCCAACTTCTGCCTGATCCTTCCCAGCTCAGTGCTAATGATCCAGGCTCGCTTCAACAGCAGCTGCAGGTGGTCACAGGGGCCGTGCTGTGAAGATGGGATCAGCTCACTCTGGACATCATCCTCTAGGCTAATGGGCTTCGACTGGAGGATGCACATGCACTCACAATCGGTCATCAACTTTAGGTCTTCCATCCATCTCTGAACAGAGTCCACCTGAATCAGGGGCAACCTGAAAAGGCGGCAACATCAAGGTAGTCATTTGGGACAGCATGGAGTCAATCAGCCTTGGAAACAGTGGGGCAACCTCAAAGCAGTCATTAAGAGTACCACCAATGTCCAAACTAAGCTTTTCAAGTTTGAGACCATAACCATCATATGTAAGAAATAAATTAACTCCAGGAAATGATAACTTGAAGTGGACTTGAAGAATGGGAAAGATTCGGGGCAGCTAGGTGGTACAGTAGATAGAGCACCGGCCCTGAAGTCAGGAGAACCTGAGTTCAAATCCAGCCTCAGACCAAACACTTGACACTTACTAGCTGTGTGACCCTGGACAAGTCAGGGTTGCAAGTCACTTAACCCTGATTGCCTCACAAAAAAAAAAAGAATGGGAAAGATTCAGAGAGAATAGGGGAGGTTATTGTAGGGGGGTGCCATAGGTAGAGCGTGTCATAGGTGACCCAGGTGGGAAGGGGTTCTAGCTTCCTCACCTTCCCTCTTTCTCTAAGGCTCTCGCCCTCTACCTACCCTAACTCCCAAGTTACTCTAGTCAGTACCAACACCATATTCAGTTGCCTGGAACATAGGAATCTCCTCTCCCTCAATTATAATAATCTTTGACCATTTTTTCTAAATGGTTTTTACAATTTCAAAAGGCTTTCTCTCTTTATCATACTGGATATTCACATCAACCTTAGGAGGTAGACAGGGCAAGGTGATATTATCCCCATTTTCCATAGAAAGAAACCAAGGTCCTGAGGGGCCAGAACTGGTTTGCTCAAAGTAATAAAAACAGCGACGAGTCCAGGAATCAAACTTGGGTGTCTTGTCTCTTAGTTCAGGATCCTGAACTAGTTACCACTGGTGGTTTCTGTCTCCCTATTGACTGTGTAAAAAAAAAACAAAAACAAATGACAAAGTCAAAGGGCCATGTAGGCTAAAAAGGAAATTAAGTGAGAGAGAGAGAGAGAGAGAGACAGAGAGAGAGAGACAGAGAGAAAGGAGAGACAGAGGAGAGACAGAGGAGAGAGAGAAAGGAGAGACAGAGGAGAGACAGGGAGAGACAGAGGAAAGAGAAAGATAGACAGAGGGGAGAGAGAGAAAGAGGAGAGGAGAGGAGAGGAGAGGAGAGGAGAGGAGAGGAGAGGAGAGGAGAGGAGAGGAGAGGAGAGGAGAGGAGAGGAGAGAGAAGAGAGAGGAAGGAGAGAGAGAGGAGAGGAGAGGAGAGGAGAGGGAGAGACACAGAGACAGAGAGAGAGAAAGAGAAGAGAGAGGAGAAAGAGAGGAGAGAGAGAGACAGAGAGAGACAGAGAGAGAGAGAGAGAGGAGAGAGAGAGAGGAGAGAGAGAGAGAGAGAACACGAGAAGAGTCATGTAGCCAAATAAGGTATGAGAAAGGAAGAATTCCAGAGGACACACTAGCATCAGAATCTATCTGGAAGATAGATGCATCCCCTCACCGAGGCCCAGCTGGACTAGCCAGGCTTCCTTGCTCAGTGGAATAGTCATGAGCTATCCAGTGTTTCCTCTTGCCCTCAGCTGAGCTGTCCTTTCTCCCAGCAGTCAGCCAGGGTCCTGGGTGGAGTCCTACCCTGAGCCCTAAAATATCCTTCCCTGGTTCTTGTCCAGTTGGGTGAGGAAGGTCGTCTCCTATCTGACCCCTAGGTCCCTCCCCTAGATTTGACACTGTCCTTAAAGACCTTGAAAAAAATAATTATCTTACATAAGCAAAAAACTATGAAATCCAAGTATCAGTTAAAGGATCTTATAGCTAAATGTGTAGAAGTGAATCTCACGTATAAAAACCAAATTAATAGACATTTACTGAGAACCTACTTTGTACAAGGCCCTGTATTTGTGTTTAGTGGATATGATGATGAAGTAAGCCCATTTCCTGGCCTCATGAAATTTACTGTCTAGTAGAAGAACCAAGACAAAAATGTAGTCAAGAAGTTTTTGCCGCAGTATTGAATATGGTTGCAAGGAAGCAGGATAAGGGCTGATAGCACCACCTTTCATGGGTTGCTAAGTGAAACACTGGGATAATTTTCTGGGCCTGGTGCCGGGTTCCAGGTGCATAATGGAAGCTGAAGGGAATTAATTTCCCTCCTTTGCCTTCTGGGAGGTCTCAGTCATTCCAGTCCCTGGAAATCCTATTCTGTCCCCTGGCCCATTTCTCTCTGGCCCATCTGATTTGCCTGAAACAGTGTCACTGTACAGCTGTGAAGACCATATCTAACTTTTGGGGAGAAAAGGTATGGAGGCAGAAAATGGTAATAATAATATCAATAATTATCATAAGTAACTAGCACTTACATGGCTCTTTAAAGTTTGCGAAGCATTTTACAAATATTATCTTAGCAGATTGCTTACAGTCTCAGGGAAGAGGGAGGGGAAGGAAGGAAAGAGTGATAAAATTTGCAACTCAAAACTTTAAAAATAAATGTTTAAAAATTGTTTTAACATGGAATTGGGGAAAAATAAAATATTATATAAAAAAACAAATATTACCTCATTTTATCCTTTCAACAACTCTGGGAGATAGGTGCTGCTATTATCTGCATTAAATATGAAGAAACTAATGTGGATAGAGGTTAAATGGCTTGTCCAAGGTCACATAGCTAAAATGTTGGAACCTAGATTTGAACTCAGGGCTTCCTAAATCTAGATCCAGCATTCTATCCACTGTGCCACCTACCAAAGAGTAGTAAAGATTCCCTTTAAATTCAAGTATAGACTTTGTGTGTAGAATAAAACTGGAAAGGAGAAAGAAACCAAATTTAGAAGCCTTGAATGACTGGCTAAATATGTTGTACTTCATCCTATCCTATACATGATGGACAACCTCTGAGGCTTTTGATTAGGGAAGTAGTGCTGAAAAGACCATACATAAGCAATAATTACTTCAGCAAAGGTTGAAGGATGTTTTGTAGCAGAGACAGATTGGGGGCATGGCATTCAGTCCAAGAAAGTTTCTCCATATGGGTGTATGGTCAGATGGTCATAGGACCATAGTTTTAAAACTACAAAGCATCATTTTACACTTGAGGAAATTGAGAAAGGAAACTTTCCCACCCAAGGTCAAAGCTTCCTTGCTCTACTACACCGCATGGCCTCTGGTGTCAGAGGAAGGACTTAGCTTAAGCCCCAGAAACTTGTCTTTTCACCAAAAGCCTATATTCTACCTTAGCCTCAGCTTCAATTTCTTGGTCTTAGTAGTCTCTTGCTACTCTTTTCCTTAGGAGGAAGACATTAGAACATAGGATTTAGAGTTGGAGGGTGCCCTTAGAGGTCATCAAATCCAGCGCCTCTTCTATATACATGGGAAAACAGACTCAGAATGCTAAAGTGATTTGCCCACTATCAGAGGTGATAGCAATATCACTACTAGGTCTGTATCCTAAAGAGATCATTAAAGAGGGAAAAGGACCCACATATACAAAAATATTTATAGCAGCTCTTTCTGTGGTGGCAAAGAATTAGAAATTGAGAGGATGCCCATCAATTGGGGAATGGCTGAACAAGTTGTGGTATGTGAAAGTAATGGAATACTATTGTGCTATAAGAAATGATGAACAAGTGGACTTCAGAAAAACCTGGAAAGACTTATACAAACTGATGCTGAGTGGAATGAGTAGAACCAGGAGAATATTGTACATAGTAACAGCATCATTGTGCGATGACTGACTTTGATAGATTTGATGGGCAAGATGAGCTGGACCCCAAGGAGAAGGGTTTCAGAGGTTACTTTCCACAGCAAAGAATTTCAGAGGCAGTTAATGGGCTTCCATTGAGCTGGGAAGCAATCATTACTACATATCATCACTAACTGACTCACTAGGGAGAAGTGATGGGGACCTCATTCATCTGCCTAGGAAGTGTTATCACAGCTCCTGGTAGAACATTGAAGGGAACATTCACACGTCTGCCCCAGTGCTTTTGTCCAAGGGGGAGTGATTTCTCAGGGTGACAGTTTTGAAGGTAGTATTGAAATGAAGAAAGACAGCCTTTAATGGGACTGGATGTGTACTTATTGGGGAAAAGTAAGATTGCTGCCTTTTTCTCTTTAAAAGTTACTCAGAGGAATTTCAATATCTAAAAGTAATTTAAGCAGAGAGGGGAAAAGGAAGTCTCTGGTGCCCACTGAGCACTAAGAAAATATCTGTGGCTAAGGGTTGGGGGCAGGAGAGGGGAGAGCAGGAAAGAGATCCCAGAAGGAAGATTATGAAGGCTATAAGATTCTTGGAATGTTACCCAAGTCCAACCCAGAAGATACTTACAACTCTGTGTGTGTGTATGTGTGTGTGTGTGTGTGTGTGTGTGTGTGTGTGTGTATCTGTGTGGCTCCCAAGAATGTGTCAGGATAAACCATGCCAGCACATTTCCCATGATACACCCATGTAGATCCCCATGGTATGGTCCCTCATTTTGGCTCATTTTGGCTCATTTTGGCTCCTGGGGAAGGGCAGTCAGACTTCTATAATATTTATAATGTTTCCATGGAGTGGGACTAATAATAAAAGCTAACCTTTATAGAGAACTTTAAGGTTTGCAAGGCATTTACCATGTTATCTCATCTGATTTTTACAAACATCGCTCTGTGAGGTAGTAGTAGTAGTAGTAGTAGTAGTAGTAGTAGTAGTAGTAGTAGCAGTATAGTAATGGTAGTGGTAGTGGTGGTAGTGGTAATAGTGGTAGCAACAGTAGTAGTAGTAATAGCTAACATTTATATAACAACCTACTATGCACCTGGCATTATCTAAGCACTTCACAATTATCATCTCATTTGATCTTCACGACGACCCTGGGAGGTAGATGTTATCATTATCCCCATTTTACAGAAGATGAGAGCACTGAGGTGAACAGAGGTTAAGGGACTTGCCCAGGATCACATAACTAGTAAGTGTTTGAGCTATTATTTGAACCGAGGATTTCCTGACTCCTGGTCCAGGGCTCTATCCACCATACCACCTAGCCAAAAGGAAGAATGCATGTGAAGGTCCCTGTGGCA